TTGACACTTCACTGAAGCGCAGGCACCCATGTGCTCGTCAGAAATGGACTTTAAGAATTGCAGGTTTTCATCTTCCTTTCCGAGAACGCTGACTATATTTCAATGAAGTAATATACTAATGGCTATTCGAAAACGAGCCTGTTTGTCACACTATATGTTTCATAATGACGAAACGCTTTCAGATGCGACGGTCTTGTTGTACCAAGACTGTTCCATCGGGGGCTAAGTCCCACAATTTCTATATAAAATGCCGAGGTCAAATGACTGAAAATTGAAATCGATTGTCGAAATCNCGTAGCTTCTGGATCTAATATTTATAAAATTATACTCCTGTTTAGTTGATTCACAGCAAACTACTAATTACTAAAATAGAGTACGGATGGTAGTCAATAAGAGTCTGCAAAGTGCGAGTTTGAGACATTTGGGCAAAATTGGTGGAGTTTGGACGCATCAGCGGCGCATCAACCATATGCGGATGACATATTTCATTCTATGGTGAAGCCATATATTTATTCAGTGAAATTTCGGTTAGATGAACTCTGGCAAAAGCTAGACAACGTTATAGGCTCTACATTCGCCGCCACACTAATCACGAAAAGGGACTTAGTTTCCGATGAATAGTGAACAACGTTCACAGAGGATGTGGACAAATTTAGGTAAAACCAAAGATAATGACTATGGGTAGGATAACTGGTCAAATTAGTTAACATGTGAATTGCTCAAATTTATTTACCACACTGGAATCAGATGACTAAATTATTCTTCACAGCTTCCTCAAGGTTGCCCTTATTTCAGAACACTGTGATTTAGATTGCTGGTTACATCTGTTGTTTAATGACGATAGTTGATCATAGGTGTCGGTTAGGCTCCTGCGTAATGAAAATCAAGCTGCATTTGCATTTTCATTTCTTGAAATCAATGTGATAAAATCCATTAGAAAAATGTTTTGTAATGAAACATCAACACAAACAAGAGAACATACAGTGGAAATTATATCTCCGAAGTAATCCCATAATGAGAGGAATATTTGACAAACAACGGGTATAATCTCGACCTATGATTCAATGGTTTGCACTCACAGCACTTTTTTCAATGGAACGTGTGCAGTTTAGTAAGCTTTGAGACGACAAGTGTTTACGATGACTTTGCAACAGGTTTTCACGCAGTAATGCTCCCGACGTGTATCATGCATCGTATGGAATCCAAGTTGCCCACAAACCGATCGCCTGTCTAAGTGGACTTCTGTCAAAACCCAAGGAGAGAAGAACAAGAGCAGCGTCATCTACAAAATAAATTGCAAGAACTGTTCGAAACACTATATCGGACAAACTGGGAGAAAACTGTCAACAAGGATCCGTGAACACCAATTGGCAGTCAGGAGACTTGACCTGTTATCTTTGATTTCCTTCCACATAGATCAAGAAGGACATCAATTTGATTTCGAATCAGTGAGAATTATCGACCAAGTCCGGTTAAAACACGCCAGAGAATTTCTCGAGGCTTGACACTCTTCAATCAACTCAGTAAACAGGCACATCGAACTGGATCACGTATACACGCCAATGCAACTCAAGGATCAGATGACGCAACAAAAAAGGTCACTCTGTGACCTGAGAACGGACGGAAACCGTGATCGGGACGAAAGGGCAATCTCCCCCCTCCCACCCTCAACCCATCGCACCAGTTCAACGGCGAACCGAGTCGAATGCAGTGAGAACAAGGGACAAAAATAGTCGGTGGAGAAGAACACATAAACGAACNACGAACGGGTACAAGCACAACACTGCCACGTCACAAGCACTGATGAGGTCACCTCGGTTGGTGATGAAGTGTTTGCAAACAAATTGCTAAGCTCGGCGAACAGGTGAAATGAAATAACTTTGTTTAAACAGCCCCACGCAGTTCATACTGAGAACACAAACTGACAGTCAAGCCCGCTTTCCGTGTCTTAATTATGCCATTACGATTTAAGAAATATGATTGGTAACACAAGAATTTACAAGGAAAAAGGGACAGTAATTAAAGTATTCAACAATTCGTTTCATAATTGGTCACCAATTATAACTTGCTTCCATTTTTCATGACAAGTCACTTGTCGGCAGTCCGGCCATGAGAGCTTGCACAAATTGGTTCTGAGCTCACAGATGTGGGTTGTGATTACGTATTGAAACTGCTTCCACTGTGGCAAGAATGCGAAACCGTACGTGTCTAGACAGTCTCGTGTTAACTCTATACGGAGGTCGGAATGCTTTGGTCACGTTTACAATGTAAAAAGGTAAACACAGAAAGAAGTAACAGAATCTGGCACTCTTTCCTTCAACCGTAGATATACCAACGGGTTGAATGTGAATCGAGTTTGGAGTGTGGCCGCGTAGAACGTTTTGTTGATGACATTTCATAAACTTCTATGCACAATCTCTGCCATAGTGTCGCCTTTAAGTGATAAACAAATGTACACAGACTTCTTCTCAGCAATAGCCCTCTTGGGAAACGCCTCTTGTCATTGCATCACAGATTTCAACAAACGTTCCGGGTATCCATTCTGGATAAATATATTCCGCTTATTTTTGAGTTTTTCAACCAGCAGGTCTTTCATGCTAATTCCTGTAGCTCTAATGGCCAAACAGGATATGAGATTCTTCTTCATACTGAGTGGTACAAAGCTACGAAAATGAATGTAGCGCCCATTCCAAGTCTCCTTCCTGTGTGCTGACTGCCTGGTAGACCCGTCATCATAACGAGTTAGGCATACATCTAAGTATGCAAGTTGCCTGTTTTCTCCATTTTCAATCGTGCATTTCAAATTCCGATGCGCAACATTGAAATGGTCTAGCGTGTGTTGGCACTCCATTATGAAACCGAACACGCACAAAATATCGTCTACGTAACGTTTGTACAGTACATATGCGTTTTAGGCGGACCGTTTTCTGTTTTAGACATAAAAACATCGGCAAACAAGGGCCATAGCGAGGATGCCATTGTTACACCAGCCTCCTGGCGATAGATTTCCTCATTAAACTTCAATTGCACATAGTGGGTGCAGAAAAATAATAAATGATTTTGGGCATCTTACAACGAGAAAACGAGTCGGCTGACAAAGCGTTTGTTTATCCAATTCGAAAACAATCGGTGTATGCGTTCGATTATATACAACCAATTCTCAACCACGCAGCAGGATGATTCATGCCTCATTCTGTCGGTCCATTCCTGTTGGTTTTGGTCCGCACTTGGTACGCACGTTTGCCCTTCTTCCGCGTGCCGATCCGACTGGTTTGACCGGATACGTTGATCGACAGCTCCGACGTTGTGTTATTCGATGGATATTTTTCTGCATGGATGCGGATTGTCCGTCGGGCTGTGATTTTCGATTCATTCGTTTCGAGTGGTAGTCGACATTGTCTCTCGAAGTACTTCCAGCCGCTTCGTCTGCGCACCTGGTTGGATCTGCTCTCTTCTTGGTTATTTCGCTAGCCGGGACTCTCTTTGTACCATTTTCCATCACAATCAGTAGGCCTACGGTAATCCAGTTACTTTTGATATAGGCAGACCAATAATCAATTGTTTCGCCAATCGGAATAACTATGAACAGAGATGTGACATCCAGCGAAAACATATGATGATCTTTGCTGTTTAAGCCACTCAAGGGGTTATTGAGGCTGGTTGTTTTCTTAAGGTTATTCTGAGTTAACGTGATTCTCACCGGCTCCACAAGATGAGCCAACCACTTGGCTGGATTGGCCTGTGGGGAACTCCACTCTTATGTACTTTGAGCACCCATACAACCGTGGAATCACAGTCCCCTGTTGGAGGAATCCGTTCAAAAGTGACGATGTCCATGCCCCTTTTTTAAATTTTCGTAATCTAGTAGAAAATGCTCTCTCTATTTAAGGTATCTTGTCATTTTCGTGGGCCATTTCGATTCAGCATTCAAAATTCTCGATATCTTCCTGACGTAATCTGATTTAATAATTAAGACGATACTGGATCCTCTGTCCAGTTTCGTTGTGATAACTTCCGTGTTCCGTAGTAACTCCCTCAGTTTTTGTATGCGTTCCGTAATTAATCCGTTGGTCGAAGATTTGATAACGTGTGTTCATCAAGGTAGGTTGTTCAGTACTTTAATTAGTTTCCCTTTTTTCCTTGTAAATCCTACTCTGTTAACAGCTATTTATTACGTTTTAATGGCATAATGAAGACACACTGAAAACCAGCTTGTTTGTCCATGTTTTTGTAAATAATTATATATCTAAAAATAGAGGCAGTAATTTTTCGATAATTTGAATCACAATGCAAATATTTGCGATTTTAAATACAAGATATTTTTAGAGATTTCAAAAGCTCTAAAAAAATGATGTTATCAAAAATGTAGATTTGACGTATGAAATTGGGAAACGTTATTTTGCCGTTGTTTTTGCTTATTGCATTGGCTTTACTCGAATAGCAGATGGAATAACTTGGCAGGTAAATGAACCAACCAATACGATGAAATGTTTTCACCCGAACATAGCTTTTTTCAACACGTCGTTATGAAAAATACGTTGAGTGCTTCCTGCGCCGGTTTCACCCTTTCATTATAGTAATAAAGTGTTCAAAGAAACATTTTCCCGCAAAATAACATAGGTTGGAAAAGAAGTAAGGTATTCTTGAATAGTTCACACAATGCCTTTTACATTGATGGTTTGGTGCAATGAACCACACAACCAAGCTGCTACTTAGTTTAACTATTGAACCTCAAATAGAAGTTTTCACTTGCGTGCTTTCCTGATAGCTGTGTTGCATGCCATCTGAATCATAGTGCAATACGGAAGGATAACAGTACGGGAAAGTAAAATAGTCTATATGTGTCATATGTTTTCAGACGCAGTGATTCATCAGGACAGGTGATCATGGCATGATTCCTTTGGTGCCTGTTCGAAACCAGGCACAGTAGCACTTACCAATTACTAACCTTGCATTGATCACCGAGTCAGCGTCTTGAATATTGTACTTGCCACGTTTATGATACATATTATTAACATAAACGGCAGTATTTTTGTCATTTATTTTACGTTTTTCACTTTTTGTTGATGATATTTCAGTAATAATTTTTGTCGGTGCAGGTAATCAAGACCGAACAATGAATTTTTACATTCTGAATTTTTTCATTATATTCGTTCACCAATTGTGCATCGAAAATTGATGATCTCTCGCTGCGACCAAATTTGTCGGTGAAAGTGAGGAAACTGGAATGGGCTGTTTATCGCATAAGGAATAAGGAGTATTGAACAAATTAGATATTACCACGGTATATATTTGTTTTTAATTAACAGCTTCCTTGATTAAAGCGTTCACTTGTTCAGTTTTAGTACAAACGTTCAATCTCAGATAGCACTGAGCAATTCGTAGTTTGCCATTTTCATATAAGCGGAATCTGCGTTAGAACCCCGATCGAAGGTGAACCCAATACCTACTAAGATCTGAGAGTTGATCATCATTAGGAGTGTCCAAATTCCTTGGGCGCGAAGTCTGTCCCACCAACATCAGTTGAACAACCGGAAACATGTGCACGACTAAAATATAGCAAGTTAACAAATATGTGGAAATTTTCTAGCAGTTCACACGCGATTCACGCGACAGAAAAACAAACAAACAAAAAAAATGGTTCGCAGCTGATTTTCGCTTGCGCACAA